TTGTGGGTCAAGAAGCAACAGTGAGAACTGGACATGGAACCACTGATTGGTTCAAAATTGAGAAAGGAATTTGGCAAGGCTGTATACTGTCACCCTGCCTATTTAACTTATATGCAGAGCACATCATGAGAAAGGCGGGGCTAGATGAATCACCAGTTGGAATTAGGATTGCTGGGAGAAATATCAACAACCTCAGATATGCAGATGATACCACTCTAATGGCAGAAAGTAAAGAGGAACTACAGAGCCTCTTGATGCGGGTGAAGGAGGAGAGCGCAAAAGTTGGCTTGAAACTCAACATTAAGTAAACTAAGATCATGGCATCTGGTCCTCTCACTTCTTGGCAAATAGATGGGGAACAAATGGAGGTAGTGACAGATTTTATTTTCCTGGCCTCCAAGATGACCACAGATGGGGACTGCAACCAAGAAATTAAAAGACGCTTGCTCCTGGGGAGGAAAGCTAAGGCAAATCTAGATAGCATACTAGAAAGCAAAGACATCACCCTGCCAACAAAAGTGTGTATAGTCAAGGCTATGGTTTTCCCAGTTGCAATATATGGCTGTGAAAGCTAGACCATAAGGAAGGCTGAGCACCAAAGGATTGAGGCGTTTGAATTGTGGTGCTGGAGGAGACTCCTGCGAGTTCCCTGGACTGCAAGGTGATCAAACCGGTCAGTCCTAAAGGAGATCAACCCTGACTGCTCTTTAGAAGGCCAGATAGTGAAGATGAAACTCAAATACTTTGACTACCTAATGAGAAGGAAGGACTCCCTGGAGAAGAGCCTAATGCTGGGAACAATAGATGGCAAAAGAAGGGGATGGCAGAGAATGAGGTGGCTAGATGGAGTAACTGAAGCAGTTGGTGTGAGCTTAAGTGGACTCTGGGGGATGGTGGAAGACAGGAGGGCCTGGAGGAATGTTGTCCATGGGGTCACGATGGGTCGGACACGACTTCATGACTAACAACAGCAACAACAACAACACCAAGAAATAATACTGATTTCACTGAAAGAGACAGCAGCTATCATATTTATGCATTTGACCTAGTTGATTAGGGCACTCATTGGACTATCTGGATATGGTAAACAAACGTACAGCATTCATGAACAAAACAGATTTTCTTGATTTACTTCAGATTTTAAAATAGATGATACTTGATTGGCCCATAAGGACATTCTTAATCTGAACAGTCATAAGCGTTCCAGTTGGCCTTGTAGACATCATAGAAAAGAACACAAAAGATCACTTGTATAAAAACTCATGAACACTACTTACTTTTCGTTAATGTTTGAAGATCTTCAACTGAAGGAGGTCCACTTTTCTTCTCATAAGGAATAACTGTTGTCAGGTACTGTCAAATGAAGGCCATGATTACTATTTTGTTTGACAAAGAACTTCATATATCAAAATTCACACAACAGCAATAATGGGCAGTTAGTTTCACTGTAAGCATATTCAATAATATGTAACTAATTTAATATACATCAAAATACACTGAAGCCCATTCAAGGATATTCTGGAAAACAACAGAAAATGGTGGCCCATACTGTCAGTCAAAATCGATGTTAATTTTCATAATTATATGTAAAATTATACTGTAAAATGTATTTTTCCTTTAGAAGAAGTGTTCCAAATCAGTTGTTCTGTCAGCAATTTTCTGCACATGAAGGAATAGTTCTAATGAGATGCTGTGCACAAGACAGTACTTTTCCATATGATATTCTGTACAACCAATCATAAATGTACAGATCTTTTAAACACTAATTATACAGTTCCGAAATGAGAGCATGCTATTAAGGATATATATCAGTATTTTTGGATTGGAGTGACTCCATGGAGCAACTTATTGCATGAATTGAAGAAAGGACCAATACAGCTGACTGAACAGGATCTTTAACAAAGAAAAACAAATATGCAGTCTATGTCAGGAGTAGTGAAATCACACTCTGTGAGGTCCAGATCTGGATTCTAGTATTGGTGAATCCCCATGTATCTGCTGCCACTTGGTCCCCATGCTGATGGTGCTGCCACAGACTTGGCCTTCCCTTTCCTTTCACACATTTCCTCAGACCATTACAGTGCAACTGGCAACCTCTCCTTTGAGTTCACAAATGAGTTTCTGCTGCGCAGGTGACACTATAATTGGTCAAGAAACTGAATGGGCCTACCCTATCTTGCAAGCTTCTTTGCCTTTGGTTCATACATGTCCAGAGACCCATCTGTAAACTTGGATGTTTCTGTGAAAGTTCTGCTATATCTGTTTGTACTGTTGAGAAAGTAAGTGGCCTTTAACATTTACAATATATAGCATTCTTCCTCCAGTGCTTCAGCATTTTATTTTGGGATTCTTATTATTATATACACAGATGCAGTGCTTTTTTTGTCATAGAACGCACAGGAACAGAGTTCTGGCACATTTTTTGAACAGATTTTCCAAGTTTTAAAAGTAACTTTTGAAAATTTGATGTTTGGTCCACGTGGATTTGAATTGCCCTGTCGAACGTAGCAAGTCAGTGGCAAAATCATTAAAACGGTGCATGCAGGCTGCTTGCATGTCGAATCCGATGCATGTGTACTTTGTCCACGCTGGTTGTGTTGGCAATGCTCGGCTTGTGGCACTGCTCAGCTTGTGACTGGTCATGTGGTCGCGCACTGAGTGCTTACTGCAGGTGGCGACCGTTATGTTTCACTACACAACTGACGTGTGTGGGTGTGTGTACAGTGATTGACTATGTGTGAAAGGTAAATAATTTCATGAGTTCCGGCACCATTTTTCTTACAAAAACAAACAAACAAACAAAAAAACACTGCACAGAGGTATGTATAATTTAAAAGATGCAAGTACTATTTTATGGTATTAATTTTAAGAATTTGAACATGTATGTGTACATGCATTGCTGAGAAACATGCATTGCTGAGAAACAGGTTTAAATTCTCCATGTCTGGATCTAGCTTAAATTCTGTAGGCAATATTCAGAATTATGTATAAGAGAGGTGTGTTCTTTTTGAAACTTGCTTTTGCAATGGTTCTTTATTCCATTTTTTGTCCTCCTGCTGTGCACAGGATATCTGTCATCCTCCAAGTTTGGAAGGTTATAGGAAGCCGTGCTGAACTGCATCAAGCTTTATAACGGCATTCCAACATTATAATTATGGAAGCAACAAAGCTGATGTAAACTGCTTCGAACCCAAACATAGCATTACCATGAAGAGTTATAGGAAAATACAAACAGGAATCATGGTATAAATAGTGTAGTGACAATAGCTTCAAAACCCTGATGTACACTAATATTTCTATGAAGGTTAGATATTTTCTGTTTCACTTTTCTGCAAATTCTTCTTGGATTTTCTTCTACAACACTTGGGGAATCTGTGAACATTATATCCTGCAGATCTAGTTATGGCATAACACAAAGACAGCATGTTCAATGTGGGTTATTTCCATGAGTATTTAGAACTGCTACTTGAGATGGAGTACCCCTATTCTGGATGTAAGCACATGATTTAAAATTCCAAATAAAGGAAAAAAGGCATTTCTCTATGTGGGTGGAGTGTTTCCAAAATAGTATAATAATCATTTAGTAAATTAAGGATGCAGCAGCAAATTAATGGGCATACTTACAATATACTATTAAAATACCGTTCAGTTTTCTAGAAGAACCAAGATTGTGCTTAGCAATGCTCACACAGCCCCTCCTTTTACAACCGTGACACCACTGCTAGGGCTATTTAAAATGAGTGATATGGGGGGGGGCTCACAACATGCTGCAGTCCAGGTGACACCCCCCGCCCCCCGACCACGTGCCCTACTCCTTGGGTTCCACTGATCTTTTCTGGCTTCAGCAGATCACAAAACATACGTTTGCTTAGCCTCAGAAACAACATGTTCTTTAGGGCCCAACAAAGATTCCAAGATTCAGCAGAACTTTGAAGCCATGTAAACTCTAGGATGAAAACTGCATAGATTAGATCTTGTTTTCAACAAACTCCTCCTCAATCCACCAAAGGAGGAAAAGTGCTTTGACTTGGAATGATCAGGAAGGGGTGGGGGGCGGGGCTCTGCATTACAGCAGCTAAATTGGGCTGCCAGAAAAACATGGAGTAGATTTTTCAGAGAGAATCTGTTCTTTAATTAGTTCCATTCCTTCTCTGAAAATACTGCAGATCTAAACTGCTGGATTAAGAGGCAAGAGTTAACTGGCCACACCATTTCTCTCTCACTGCTCAGTATTGTGAGTCTTTTGCTCCCCATGTGCAAGGCTGCTTCTCCCATGCAGTCTCTTTGGCTTCCGTCCCCCAGCACTGTCCTCCTTCTGGAACCCAGCAGCGCTCCTAAAGAACCTTTGCATTCCTTCCAAATAATTCCCAGGCAAGCTTTGCCACTTCATTCCAATTGCAAGTCATTTTAAACAAGCAAGAAGACAACTTGTTCTTCAAATTCACTGACTAACTGGCTCAACCTACCTTGCCTCCTGAGGTAAGATGCTGCCGCCACCTTGCATCCTAGCTGTGGGAGTCTCACCCAAAGTCACCTGAGAATAAGTGAATAAGTGACAGTTCCAGAGAGCCCTGCTGGCCACTCTCTGGCAGCTGCTAGGACTCTCAAGAGCCCCACTGGAAGAGGAGGTGAGTGACAATTTACTGTTCTTGCCTCTCTGCCACCTGAATCATTTGCCTCAGACTGCCAAATGCAAAGGCTGGCCCTGCTGACTAGATGGAAGAAGACAGAGGAAATGTCAAGTCTTCTGTTTAATTACCACAATGGTTTAGTGCCTGCTCCCTTCCCTCTGCATCTCAGCTTCTAGAGCCTTTCTGGATTCCCAAAGCAACTGGCCTCTTCTTCACTCCCTTCCTTTTGTCTTCTAGAGCTTGATTAAGCCAAGGGAACAAACAAGCAAGAGGCTCTGGGTTATGAAGAACCACTCCAGGAAGGAAGCACAGGTCTACACTGGATTCCTTTGGGAGAGAGGGAAAGGTAGTGCCTTCTAGCCTTTTAAATCCTACTTTGAAAGCAGATATTTGGTGTGCTGTTTTGGGGACTGCCAGTGAAGCAAGGGCAATGTTCAATTTTTTGAGAAAGACTTGCAGAGGACACAGGCTTCTTGTAAAAAATGCCAAGTGCACTACTAACTCATCTCCTTAATTGGTGAGAGGGGCAGACTGCCACTTGTTTGGTCAAGTATAAAGGCACTTTGCTTGTTAATATACTATTCATTTACAATATACTGGCTAGTAGAAATATTTTAACTATGAAGCCCACACATAGGACCACTGCTTATCCTCTGCAAATTCTATTAGGTCAGAATACTCTTTACTACTCATTCTGACTTTAGTTACATTATTAATTTTGCTAAAGGTAAAAAGAAAGTAATGCCCAACACCTTGGACATCATTAACTATGAAAAGGCTGAATAGGAAGCTGCCTTGTACCAAACCAGAATGGGTATTTGCAAAGGCACACAACTTATAAGCCTGATCTTAAACAGACACACCTCATAAATGCCAAATCATATCACATGCATGCAAAAGCAATGAGTTAGAACTTATGTGCTTTTTGTGCCTGCTTTTTTGGTCATCACCCTACATTGTTCAATACTGTATCAAACCATGTCCATTACATAATAAACAATCTTTTGTAGAAGAAGATATTCTGTGATGATAAGATATATGTTACTTTTGGCTGATGTATTGCACACAGCTGTTTGTTTAAAATTTGAAAAACAATCCAAGTTTTCAGAATGCAATTCTTTCATGTGAAAAAATAGAATAGGCTTTTAACATTTTGGAAAATAGTAGAATTATTGTATTTTTGTACATTTCTTCCTTCTTGGGACCAAAATATTTAAACTGACATGACCTTCTATTGCTACTTTTTATGCATGCAGTTCATTCCAAGAATGTATTATGCTGATGCCCATATTTTATTTTGAGATGTTAGATAAACCCTAGACGAAACTGTTCATTTAGTGCATTGTTTTCCCATGCATAGAAAGGCTTGTCTGCTCTTCGACAACTAAGAAGAGAACCTCTGCCAACAGATCATAGCCTTGCAGACAGGGAAGATGCAAATAAGCATGCTAATATCTTTCCCCCTTCACTGTGGTCACTTGAAGTATGGAAATGCTACAACTGCTAGAAAGAGCTTGATCTATACAGAGAGCAAAGGCATGAGAAAAAAAGTTAGGGGATAGCCCAGCACCTGCTTTTCTCCACCCGAGTTTCCAAACGTTTGACGGAAGCCATTCTGAATGACATTTGAGATTCCTTCCATGCTGAAGCGCTATAGGGAAAAAGAACATGGCAGAAAAAGGGGAAAACAGAAAATTTTAAAGGCTATTAGTTAGGATTTACTGAGGATGCAAGCTAGCTAAAATAGCAGACACGCTGTTAGAAATGAATAAGTAAAAAAGCAGTTTAAGCAGAAAAAGACCTTTACTCCTTCATTATTTGGTTCTGTAAGAAAAGAAAACTGCTGCAAGAATTTAGAATGGGAAATGTCAGTGTAATATCATAAACCAAGAGATAAGTTTGTATTCTCTTTTTTTTTTACAGCAAGTGATTGGCACTTCTTGCCACTGTTTTATTTCCAATATTCTTTGCAGTCAGGGACTGCAGTTGAAAGTTCTTCCAATGCAAGGAGGTACAGAACATCTCCTAGCATAAGCTTTGCCAGAGTTCAAGATAAGAACAGAAAAAAGAATACACAAACAAAGGAAAACGAGAGAAAGGCCAATATGCAATATAGCTCACTACTGAACACCTGTCTTCTCTGCTCTTATAAATAGATAAATAGACTGCCAAATCGAATAAAAAGACTAGAACGTTCCTCACTCTTGTGGCCATTTTTGATACTTGGAATGTAAAATATAGGTGGACTGCATCAAATGTAAATGCTACATATGAACATTGATAAAGAAACACCATATGCATTATAGGATATGCATATTCAAGTAGCAAATGCTTTGAAGACTGAAAATACATACTTTGGGGGCATTTGGAGACTTGCCCTAAGAAGGAAGTCACTTCACGATACACATTTCTTTTCCTCCTGTATTGTTATAGATTAACAGAACTTTTAATGGAACAAATTCTTAGCTAGGATAAGATTTCAACAATGCTATTATTTATGAATTATTAATTAAAATCACTTTTGTAGCAATGTTATTTATGGATCTGCTATAAGGATCTTTAGTTAAGCAAATGCTCTCTGGTCTTTATTTTTAAAAAATATTATGCCCCAAGGGAAATTTTCTTGATGTTGCATGTCCTATGAAAGCCTACTTCAAACTAAACACCAGTGGAACGTACTCCCACATAGCAAGACATCTCATTGCCGCTGTAGTAAAATTCAAATTATTATTCTACAAAAAGTCTTGAATTAGTAATTTTATTTTTTATTTTTGAAGGGTGGGGATATTTCAAGGATTTCCACAACCTGAAACTTGAACCAGCTTGTGGAAATTTCTTTTAATATGAACTTTAAGTTGATTTGATTGCATTTTAAAATTTATTGACTTGGATTAATTATTACAGATGCCACCAAAACTTAGGATAACCCAATTTTCAGCAAAAGTCTTAGACTTCCTTCCCTCCAATTTCTCTATGAAATTTTTGGACACTGAGAAGGTTAAAATGGATCTAAGCTGAACAGATCAGATATCTCTGAACAACCTTCACGGACGCTGAAGGGTCACTCAGATGGCTCTGTGGAGACAACGCCCGGCTGTTATGATCTGCTGCTGAAGTCCTTCTCCAAGTAGCCCTACCAGAGATAAGATTTATGGCATCCATGGATTATAGATCTGGTCACAAGTGGTCAGTTCTATTTTAAAGCAAGTTGTTTTTGTGTACACTGGATTTTTGTGTAAAATTAAAAATGAAAAGCAACAGAAAAGCAAAGAAAAAAACATGCCTAACCAAGGGTAGCTATAAGAGGCAGTACAAGCTTAATTGCACCTCAGATGAAAATGCCACTGGCATAATTCCTCTAAGCATACCTTACATTGCTGTTTTTTCTTTTAATTATTTGTTTAAATGTAATTTGGATGATTTTGCTTTGTGGTGAATCTCTTTTCAGATGAAATTCTGATGGAGAGTTTTGGAGTTTGCCTGGGCAGAATCATTAATGCATTTTGATGGACAAGACAGGTGGTACAGTTGTTAGAATACTGGTATCAATGGAATAGGTAGCAGGTTCTGTTTTCCAAAAATAAGAGCCAGAGTGGCATAGTGGTTAAAAGCATGGGACTGGGACACAAGTGATCTGGGCCCTGCTCAGCCATGGAGCCACTGGGTGATTTTGGGCCACTCAGAGACTCTTAACCCAATCTATCTCATAGGGTTGTTTTGTGGGGTAAGATGGGAAACAGGATGATGTAAGCCACTTTGAGTTTTTTTTAAAAAGGTGGGGATTAAAATCTAATAAATACATAAATATTGATGGAATTAAGAAAATGGTTACTAGCTGAAGTGGTTACTAGTTCTCTCTGGCTCTGAAAAGTACTGAAGCAACTAGCGGTACTACTTTGCCTGGGAAGGACGACATCCTTCTGTATGTTAAACCTTGGTAAACCAGTAGAAGTGGAGGAGACAAAGCCTGAGATAAAGAAGCAGAAGGCATATGAAGCTGAGGAAAGACGTGGCTCCATAAGAGGGTAAAGAGTGTATGGCAAAGCTCAAGAGGTCTATGGACAAAATCAACTGCATACTGTTGCATCAACCATTATGTAAATCTGTTTGACAATTCTATATCCATGTGTGTTATTGAGTTTCTTCAATACTGAGATGGGTTTCATGGAAACTTATTACCACATTCAGTATTACAGAGTCTCTTTAGAATTACTAGAATTAACTTTCTAGGTTTTAGATGGAGGTATACAGGACTTTTTACATTTCTATACCAGTATCACCCCACACAATTCCTAAACAGCTGCCAGAACAGGGAAGAGAGTATGAGCTCACTTGAACAGAGTAAGTGGAACAGCTACCATATCTGCTCTACTAATGTGTAAATGTATGGCTGTGACAGACTGGGAAAGCCAGAGTTGTTTATCAAAAATTCTGAAAGCGTCAGCAACTCTATAGGGGTAATCAGATAAATAGGAGTAAAAGTAGGAATATATATTTGAAAGTCTGAGGTATCCAATAATTAGTGTTACTGATTTCACTAAGATGACTTAACTTTATCAATACTAGTTTAATGGGAAAGATACAGAGATCAAGTTATCATCTAGAGTTAACATTCTAAAGGTTCTTCTACAGAGAGAAACATAAAGCAGGGTTCTTACTGTTCCAGGCATATGTCCTTTCTCCTGCTTGCCATTCTGGGGACTGCCATTTTTCAGCTTCTTTTTCTTCTTTGCAATTTCCTTTTGTTCTCGTTGTTTATTTTGTACTTCTATAAGGACAGATATGAAGCTATTTTTCACTTCTTTCTCAAACTCCAGCTCATCTCGCAGTGCCAACTGCTGCACTAGTTCCTCAGAGTAGTCCTTGATGGCTGTCTCAATTTCTTCTAAGAGATTGTTTAATTCAGATACAGACAGCTTTTTCACTCCTGTTTTCAAAAATGGAAGAAAACCCATTGTGTCACATGAAGAAATATTAAACTGAGTGCAATTCTATATATGCCTATTCATAAGTATGTACTTATCTGTTCTCAGGGAACAGTGCATTAGATTGCAGCCTAATAACCTCCACCATTTCTGAAATTTAAGGCAGTTAACAGTCTAGAGTTTTTCCGAGCTGTTTTGTGTTCATAGTGGCATCTTAAAGAATGGCATGCACCATTGTATTTATACTCTGAATATTTAAGCTTGAGCCACAAGCAGCCTCAAACTGCTCAAGGACTACAATGGCAAAGTCAACTCTTTAAGTCTTGTATCAGCATGGAGAACACATACAGCATTGTTCAGTTCTCATGGACAACTATCATTCCTCAAGGTTGTGGGCCAGCTTTTACTTCAGAAGTCTTCTGCAGCATGCAGACTTATGACAACCTGAATCCATTCTCACCTTTCCCGTGTTCATACATGAAAGAAAACAGCACACCAGGTTTTTTGGGGGAGGGGTGGGGGGAGACCACCTTTGAGAGAAAGATTAAGGTAACTATGGTACAACAGGTAACACAATTTAGCATGCCTCAAATAAAGTACTATAGTTCACTTTCTTCATATTTTGCCAGAAAAACAATTAAGCAGAGCTACAGGAATTTTGGCAATAGTATAACCTTTTTTGAGGTAATGGCCAAACAGATTTCAAAAGTTATTTTTTAAAAAATTATTATCACAGTATTAAACAGCGATTGAAGAATAGCTAACTAATCCATAAGCTTTTTCCTTCTAAATATCCATAATTCATTAATATTGAAAAGTGATGGTTTCCTTTCCACAACCTGAGGCAAATTTCTACCTATTAAATACCCATTTGTATTTGCTTCTAAAACTTTCTTCAGGAAACTTTTGTATCTAGTGGCAAGAACGGCTAGATGCATGCCATGCCTTCCCAAAGTCTTTTATATGATGGTGTCAATGGGCAACATCAGCATCAAAGGTCTCTTCAAAGGCCCGTTAAGAATCCAGCCTCACTGCAAAGGAACCAGTTAGATTTCAAAAAGAATTGTGACAAATTCCAATTATGTGTTCAGGAAAATGTTCTGTCTTGACAAATGAGAATGTAATGCTTGGTTTCAGTTTCTAATTAATATGGATTGGCTTTTCAGGTTTCTTAGGATGTACCTCACAAGAACAGTTCAATAAAGGCTTCTGTACTCAATTATGTATAACAAAGAGATGTGTGTTTAAAAGTGGGATTTATGTTGTGAGCCGCCCCGAGGCTTCGGCGAATGGGACGGCATAGAAATGTTTTAATAAGTAAATAAATGTTCTTTTTAGTATTTAACAGTTTATAAGAGAGACTCAAAGAAAAGATACAAAAAGAATATCACTTACTTTCTTCATAATTATGGTTTGTAGTGGACCTCTTAAGTGTTTGGATTTCCTGGGACAGTAAGGACAGACGATCTGACTGGCTTGGTGTTTCATCATCATCTGGATCTGGAGATTCTTGCATCATTTCCTCTATTTCTTCTATCACCTTTTAAAGCACACACAGAGCAAGTGAGTTATGGAGGACCAAGGAAAACTCATCTCCTGGTAATCTTGCAGACTGCTGCAAATTGCAGATTGCTGCTAAATGGGGTTGACATGTATGCTACCTGCTTAGAAGATGTAGCAGCTCACCTGCTAATTGGGCAGAAATAGTATACATTCTTTTTCATGGCTACCATACTTTTAGTCATGGTTCAAGGTGACCATGAAGTCCAGTGTTGAATGGGCCACACGTATTCAGTGCTAAATTCTCTGCCATATAGGCCTCCCTTTCCACTGAGATCATCAGAGTCTTGCCCCTGTGCTTCTCAAGTGAAGTTTCTGGAGGCGGTGAAAAATCATTTCTTTGACAAATGCTAGATAGCCTAGAGAAGTTGACTGGTACAGATAATATGTAAAGATAATTTTAGGCTTTATTAGTGTGTAATTTGAATTAGATGGGGGTTTCAGGCTATGAACAGGAGATCCGGAAGTGTAGAGGACTCCTATTGCCAGCTACAGCAGAAGGAGAGTTGTGTGTGTATCTGGTCCATGTCCTTACTACTTGTGAAACTGCAATCTCAGTCCTCCATGTGTATTGTTCAAAAAGAAAAGCAAAACAGCTTCTCACACAACAACTCTGGACAGATTCCCAACGTATATATGTTCACAGTGACCCAAAGTACACAGTGACATCTTTGTTGGTTCCCACATGAGAAAAAGGGAAGATAAAGTGATATACCCTATTTATTCAATGTGTTTAATATCAGAGCAGAACAGATTTCTCAGAGGCCACGTTCAGGTTGTCTAGCACCTTCAGTATTATCTAGCACCTTCAGTATTGTCAGTTCTTATTGGCAATAAAAACGGTGGACGTAATCATCAAGAATTCATGGATTTAGATCATCAGGAAAAAAGGTTCCTAAACATTTGCTGCTACTATCTAGGTCTAAGTAGAATGGAGGGAGGTTCCTCCAATACTGGGTCATTGAACAAAATGAGAAATGAAAGGCTTAATGCTCAAATGCAGCATCAACATTGCCCAGATGACTTTCTTTATTTTACCTGCTCAGCTGTGAAGAGTGGTTCTTCACTGATGCAGGAAACTATGATCGAATGCATATCTAGTTGTTCTCGCAGTTCTTCATCATCTGATAAATCAAGGTTCAAATTGTCATTAACCTACATAGCAAAGAAGAATGAGAAAAACATGACAAGAATCAAATGATTTGTTAAAAATGGAAACAACGTATATAGATAGTTTTCAGGAGCTAATATATAGAGCTTATAGAAATTAAAGCTTGAGACTGAGATCACACAGTGGACCATATATACAGCGAGAGAGAGAGAGAGATTTTAAAAAACCGAAAGTATTTACATTCAGAAAATAAATGTATATTATTCTATCTGCAACGTGTTTAGCCCTGTCCATCAAAATCTACATCAGACACCCAAAGCATTTCTATACACAGTTTTTTCATGCCCTGTTCATACATTAGGCTTATCAATAATAGTAAATCTGAGAGGGTCATTTAGGATTGCACAAAATCCTGTGTGAATCTGATTTTAGTACATCTTCTAAAAAGGACTGATGCTTGGGCTTTGATATGACAGCCACAGGATTTCTCAGATCCCTAGCTACAAGGTCAGAAAATTACTCTGACCTCATAGCTGAGGACTCAACCTCCTATGTCCTGCTCCGCCATTGCAGGCAGCATGAAAAATAGCTGCAACTCCAAAGCCACAAGAATGACCTCACAGGCAAGCTTTTGAGGGTAGGGAGGGGAAGAGATGGGTGTCACCAAGCTAAAAGCAAAACTGGTAGCACTTCAGCCTCCTTCCCTCATGCTCCCTGCAGGATGGAAGGAGTGCAGAGGTCATCTTCCCCTCTGTGGTTCTTCCACCTTGCACAGGTTACCCATAATCCACCAACTTTGGAGGATTGCAGGTATCCAGACAGATTTGGGCCCTGAGGTTTTGCATACTGCAAAAGATCATTGGTTGGGGGATATTCTAGGACTTGTCTCTACTGAAGCATGCATAAGATTGCACTCTTAGTGCTTTTTTGAAAAAAACCCATCAGTACCGCTTGCTGGACATATTGGAATATGACAGGTATATTATTAAGGCAAAATTATTGATGGAAACTGAATTCTAAGAATGAGGAAAAGGATGTTTTACTCGACAGATGATGCAACATTATATTTCTATGTCATGGTCCCAAGTGGTCAAGAGAAAATTATTCATAAAGTAGTGCAGACCAGTACTTACTCCCTTTTCAGAAAGATTTAGCGTTGGCAAGTGTAGTGTTCTGGTGTGGGAAGACTTCCAGTCAACTGGCATTACATTACCATAATTATCAGTCAGAGCATTCCAAATCCTGAAGAAATACAATTTCAGCCTTCAAAAATTTTATTCTAAAACTCACAACTATACCAAGCAACATTATATCTAAAAATGCCCCATCCCAAAGAAATCCAAACATTAAACCTATCGGATCCTCATACATAAATGCTCCAGTTCCACTTATGTGCAATATATAGTTATTATGCATATGATAAAACTTGTCCCCATCCACGTAAAAAATGCACTGAGGCAAATGTTAGTGGAGGTCAGATGTTTTGGGACATACGTACTGCCTGTATGTCCAGATATTTGCTTCTTCTGCAAGTGAGTTCCAGTGACTATTTGTAAAATAAATTCATAGATGTTTAAATAATAATACCAATGAGTGTTGCAGTCATAGGCAGCTAAAAAAGATAATATATAAAGATGTAATAATTGTTATACCAGATTGGACCCTACATGTTTTTGTTCCAACACTTTGTAAATAAACAAACATTAACCAGTCACAACTCGTTAGCATGGAAAGAACTAGCTGTCATTTTATTTCTGGTCAACAGATTCTGTTGCTCTGTTTGAGAAATATTCTTCAGAATACTTGTGAAAGTATTAGTGATTTTGATACAAGCCAAAGAACATGTCTCAATGTTTAAAAAACAGAAACACAAATTTAACAAGACATTGTTTGTACTGGATCATAAGCCACAGTCTATAACATTCTTGCACTTGCTAAGAAGTAAACTAATTAAAATACTAAGCTAAAATCACCTGACTTTAACCAGAAGAGTAATGAACAAGAGGGTTTACGTTATCACATCCCCAAACACGGAAGCTTAAGAGTCCCAAATCATGTCTCTCTGGAAGTTTCCTTGTGCCTTAGGCTGCAATCTTTTGCATATTTACTTGGATGGGAGCCCCACTGCACACACTGGGATTCATTTCTGAATAATGTGCACAGTCAATGGGACTTCCTTGATCATTAAGTTTTGTAGAAGGGTTGTTCTGCAATGCAAGATAACCCAAGAACAGATTCGCGCAGTCAGGTACCTTTCCAACAAAGTGCAAAGTCCCCACAATCATCCCCTTGGACCCACCCTGCGCCGCCAAAGACGGCAGGCACAGCTCAGCTGGGAAGTTTAAGGTCCAAGCTGGCATTGTAGGTGCTCCCCATAAAAATGGCACTGCCCTGCTCCTGCATCTCCAGGGGCTCCCCCACACCGGCTTGGGGGCCTGCAGGGCTGAGGGTGGCGGGCAGGTCCCTTCCACATCCCTGAGGCTGGGGTTTTGTTCTCCAATCATTCATTCATTTCCCCAAGCACCCGTTTCCCAAGCCGCAGAGACGGAGACGGCCCCCGAGGGAGGCATCAGACCAGCCGCGAACCCCTCGCCGAAGAGGCTCCGCGCCGCGCGGTGGGGAGAGGAAGGGGCGCAAGGGAAGGGCGGACGTGCCCCCCCCCGCCTCACCCGACCACTCACTCGTCTGCGTGCAGGACGCTGTGCTCGCTGAGGGGCCGCGGCGGCACTCGGGCTTCGCCGTCCCCGCCGTCCTGGGGGTGCAGCTGAGGCGGCTGGAAGCAGAGCGGCAGCTTGGCCCCCAGGTCGTGCCCGTCGCCCCAGCAGCTTTCCTCTCGCGCCGCCGCCGCAGGGGCCGCCGCAGAGGGCTCCGTACAGCAGCCCTCCTCGGCCGCAGGCTGAAAGCCGGAGAAGTCCTGCCAGTCCCCGGCAGTGTCCCGTGGCGAGGCCGCCGTCACAGCCGCCATTGCCGAAAGTGCGATCGAGAGGAGGCCGTCCGGGCCGGGCCTGCGCGTGCTCGCGCGCTCCCGCCCCGGCCCTTAGCAGCGCGCGCTCCCGGTGGCCGGGGCGGGCGGCCGGGGCGGGCCAGGACAAGCGGCCCCGCCGCCCCTGCCCTCACTCGCGGCCGGGCAGCCGCGGCAGGGGAGCGCGCCTTTCCCGGGTCGGGGTACATCGCTGCATTCGTCAGAAAGCCTCAGCTGGCCGTCTCGTGCGTGTTCACTGCGATTGAAGGGCCGCTGTGTTGGGGAGGGGGGGGGGCTTCCGCGCTGCCTGCTGCCCTGGAGCTGTGTGGAGCAGCACCCCCCTCAGGCCCCGGCCGGCCCCGGCCCGCGTGGCTGAGGCAGTCTGCTCGGCTTCCGAAGGCATTGGGCTAGTCCGCGGAGGAGACGGCTCTCAAGGGCTCCTGTCCCGACGTCCTGCTGGTTGTATTCTTGGGCCCATGGGTGGCTGCTGAACAGGATGATGGACTGGAAGGGACACTTGGTTGTCTTGCTCTTTCAATGTGCTTAGGATTGCACCCTCAAGTATTTAAATCCTTTCCTTGGCACAGGTTTAACGGCTATAGTGCAGTGGCACAGTGCAGTTGAGTGGTTTATTATTAATTTCATTTCTATACTGACCGGAGCCAAAGCGTTCTAGGTAGTGTTCAACAAAATATTAAAAAACAATAGAATGTAATCAAAACATTAACAATTAAAAATAATTTAAAATAACCTAAAAGAGCATTAAAAGTATTGTTTTTCATGCAAATACCCAAATACATGTCATTTATGGGCTAATTGTGAACATTTTCAGATACTGGAGCAAGTTATACTGTACCTGGACAACAGATATCTTTTAATATGGATATAAATATATGCTACAATCCACTGAAACACTGAAAGTAACAAGGATATTTCCCTGACAGAATATTTTGCTGTATCCACCCTGGAGTTCAGGGAATTCAGTCTTATGCAGGTTTATGCAGAATGGCTAGCTGAGGATGCTGGGAGTTCTAGGAGCTTTTTCCATCTGGGCCTGCACAGGATTGTGCCTTAAGAGTGCTTAGAAAAAGGGAACTTGGGCTTTGACCTCACTGACTTAGAGACCTACCTGTGGGATTTTGTCTGCAGTACTCATTGCACCTTTGCTGCTAAGTGCTGTCAAGTCATCTCTGACTTACGGCAAACCTATGAATGAAAGCCCTTGAAAATTTCCTGTCCATGACAGCTCCATTCAGCTTTCCCAAGTTCAAGGTGGCTGCTTCTTTTACGGATTCAATCCATCTCATACCTGGTCTTCCCTTTCCTCTCTTGCTTTCAACTTTCCCTAACTCCAGGCAGTCTTACCTTCTCATGATGTGCAAAGTATGGCAGCCTCCATTTTGTCATTTTTTTTTCTTCAATTTAGGTGGAAATTAGAGACTGGGAAAAGTCTGTGATAATGCAGAGGACAGTCAGGCATTGCAATCTAAGTTGTAGCTCTCATATACCAGCAAAAATCTGGAGTAACTTTCCTGGTGTAATTGAAAATACATGGTTAAGACCCTGGAAGACTTTTGCAGGGAAGGGGAACAATATATTTGAATTCTTAAGAGACTTATTTTTATTGAAGAGAGCTGGGTGTTTTGTTTTTGCCTTTCTGAGATAAATAATACTCAAAGTATTCAATGAATACTCTTATGTACTGAAATAAGGTTCATCACTTAAACTGGGAGGATGGATAGCCATTACCTATGATTGCAACTCCACCAGCCTGTCTTTTTTAAAACCCACCAATCCCACTATGGACAGGCAGATTAAAAAGGATAAAATTGCTTGCACTGGTGATGACTTAGACACCAGATTTTAGATAGACTTGAGTGGGGTGACAAAGGTGCTATCTGTGCCAGCTTTGTGGGATGTTTCAGTTGCTGTAGCATAAGGATGTGGACTAGGCCCTTGTAACTATAAGGAAGGCTGTTTGTTCTCTTGACCCTGCCTATTAAAGCTAGCTTGGAAGATTAACTGGCTGACGATGCAGTAGGTGGTGAATGCGTCATTATGAGATGGGAGTGATACCAACCATCCTTAAAGCCTCTGGGCTATTGGGTGGTGTGAAAATGAAATAAATAAATAAAGACATAATTGGTGTAGCTGACTCTGAAGAAGGCCATCCTGGACCCAGATATATTGGACAATTATTGCCCACTTGCTAATACACTTTTCTTGGAGAAGGTGCTTAAGAAAATGATTGGAACCCTGCTCTACACTTTCTTGGAGGAAACTGACTTTATAGACCGGTTTTAGTATGGCTTTCAACACTAGGTTTAGGAGTGAATTATTCCTGGTTTCCCTGTTGGATGACCTTATCAGAAAAAGGAGAGCACAATCTATTTCTCTTGCTAGATCTCTGAGACTTTTGATAGTTTATTTAAAAAGATTTTTAGTCAACCTTTAAAAGTTTCTCAGGATGGGTTTATTTATATATGTATAGGCAGCTGAGTAACCTGACAGGGTTGACCATGCCATCCTATTGGAATTGTCCCTTTGACTTGAGGGTGGTACAGTGATTCTTTTCTTACTTGGAGGGCCAGATTGCTTATGGATGTTTCCTTTTCACTAATGCCAGTCTTTGGCATTGTTCTATTCTTAGGGGTGCTTGAAAATGCTCTTAAACACTACCTGAATTCACCTGTTGCAACAGGCAATGATTGGGTTCACACGGCACAACTGGATTCTTGCTTCAGCCTACCAGACAGCTGCATTGTTTGCACAGCAATCTTCTTCCATGATTCCTGCTCCATCCTCCTGCTCTTGCCATGTACCCAGCAGCCCTTGTGAGCCAAATCCATTTCTGCAGTGATCACTACAAGCCTCAGCTGCTTCTTTATGATTGGCCACTGGACTTCTGTGGCAGGTTCTCCCTCTTGCTCCTCCCAATTATACCTGCATCTTTGTAATACTTCCAAGCCACCTCAGCCAGCAAAGGCCATTTCATTAAACAGTCTTGCCACAGTGTCCCTCCACTCCGCTGTTCTCCCTCTGTGCATTCACCATTCCCCATTCAGCACATCACTCAGCCAAACGGTATATACATGCTTTAAATAAATAATAGAAGCAAAGAAAGTGCTGGCACATATTGCTAGGATTTTGTGGGAGGGATGCCTAGATCAGCTGTTACCATTGCTGCTCAATCTATAGAGCTCCATGGTGTTTCCTTACCACCAAGAGTAAAATGGAACTCCTGGGTCCTGACATTCCGAGAAGCTGAAGTATAGAAAGCTTAGAACAAATGGTTGAATCTTGCCTTGATTTTGGTAAACCAAACATACCATGCTGAAATGCCGTAACTGGGTTCTGATGACATGATAGACCATCAACAGTAAAAGTTCACCAGAGCTTCTTGTTCCATGTGAACTTGGCCACTGTTCAGAATGGCTGTGATGCTTGGAACAACAGTGTTACAAATACTTTATGTATGACATCTATGGATTATGTAAATGGTATGAATGTAGAAATGCTTGGAAATGCTGTGCATGTCTGTGGAGCAGGAGAGAGAATGGAAAGGAGTATCTTCAATTGGTGCAAAATAGAGCTGCCAGGTTGCTGACGGGGACGGGGCGTTATGCTCACATGACTCCAATCCTCCGTCAGCTTCACTGGCTGCCCATTGAAGCCCGGGCCCAATTCAAGGTGTTGGTGACGACCTATAAAGCCCTAAATGGCTTGGGTCCGGGCTACCTGAACGAGCGCTTACGTCCATATATGCCCGCCCGCCCCCTGAGATCTGCGGGAGAGGCCCTTCTCCGGGAACCCTCCATGAAAGAAATTAGGAGAGTAAGTACTCGGAGGAGGGCTTTCTCTGTGGTGGCGCCCAACCTATGGAATTCACTCCCCAAAGAGGTCCGCCTGGCACCGTCGTTACTGGTTTTTCGGCGCCAGGTAAAGACCTTTTTATTTAAACATCATTTTAATTGTTAAAATATATGATCTGGCCAGGGCAACTTCTTCTTCCTTCTCTTTTCTCCTCCTATATTATTTATTTACTTACTTTATACTGATAATTTTAATTTTATATTATTATGTTTGTAACTCAATGTATTTTTTGTATTTAATGGTAATTTATTATGTGCTATTGTATTTCAATGTATTTTATTGTGTTGTAAGCCGCCCCGAGGCTTCGGCAAGGGGTGGCATAGAAATGTTATCATCATCATCATCATCATCATCATCATCATCATCTTTGAAACAGCATGGCTGGCTGAAACCTGGAACAAGAGAACTGTGTACAGAAATAATTTCCTGTAAGTTCCACTATATGTCTTATTTGTCACCATTAAGCACTACAATTTCAAGGAATATTTTTTTCAGAAGAAAATCTATTTAGCAATTATAAAAAGTTCATCAAGTTAATTTTTATTGTGCTGCCAAGAGCCAAATTACAAGAAACCATCTTACATTTTAAAAAGTAAACAAGCAATCTGCCAAATTGCAGTGCACTCCAAGTGCCATGTATGCATCTATTTTATTTTTCAGAAAATGATATCTGCATTTCTCTTACAAGAGCACAACAGGAACCAAAGTAAAAGAGTGTAATGGATACAGCACATAGGATAAATAATATCTTCAAAATAATAATAAAATAATAATAAAATAATAAAACATTTTTACACCATGTCCTATATCCTGCTAATATTTTTCAGAATATGGCCTTGATTGTAAAACAAAAGCAAGCATTTACAATATCTGGATAAAGACTGCTTACTCTTATGAAAGGAATGGATGATTTATCTTGACAGGATCTGGGTAATAACTGTATAGTAACATTAGTTTCAGTATTTTCATACCAAGTATAAAATTGCTGGGGAACTTACATTTTTTCTTTTTTTGGAAACAGAATTCACAACAGAAAAAAAAGTTGAGCCTTTATGATACACCTATTTTTTCTCTTTGATGCGAACAGCTAGAACACTTTTTGATATTCTAAAACAAGACATTTGTTAATCTTCAGATTAATAAATTAG